CTCTCAGAGGTAAACAGACTAATAAAGTTGTGTTTGAATACCTCTCAGAGGTAAACAGACTAATAAAGTTGTGTTTCAATACCTCTCATCAGAGGTAAACAGACTAATAAAGTTGTGTATCAATACCTCTCATCAGGTAAACAGACTAATAAAGTTGTGTTTGAATACCTCCCCAGGGCGAACACAACCGTCATCAGAGGGACGAGCTTCAGTTGCTCCTGGCTGAGGTACATCGCCATGACGACCAGCTGCAGGAAGTAGATCAGGAACAAGGAGGCGGAGTCAGAGACGAAGCGTCGATGGACGGCGACCTCGTGAAGCTCCGCCTCCTTCTCGTCGTCATCTAACAGAGGGCGGAACGCTCCGGCCCGGAGACGACTAACGCCGAGGACCAGCCAACCTGAGAGGGGGGGGGGGGAACACGGTCACCATGGAAACGGTCTCAGTCTCTTCTTCTTCGTTGGTGTCGTACTCACCGAGGACGACGGGCGCGGCGGCGAACACGGAGCAGCGCAGCGTGTACACAAGTCTGAGGGCGGGGCCGTCCAGCAAGGGGGCGTCGAACGGGAGGAAGACAAAACCCCCCCATACCAGGAGGGGGAAGAACAGCAGTGATGTCATCAGGGACACGCCCACCTTCAGGACATCACGGCTGGGACAGCCCCGCCCACCTGAGAGAGAGACAGACAGGTTAACAACGCTGCCGACCAGAGAGACAGACAGAGAAGCGGTATATTTACATGCGTTAGGGGGCGTGTCCACGGGCCACTCGTACTGGTAGCCATCTTGGTTGTAGTCCTGTGGGTCTCCCTGGGGACCCAGGAAGGGACTCTTCTCCGACTCCATTTCCCAGAATGCCTCGCTGTCCCTGGGCGAGGACGGGGAGTAGAGGACGGTGACCGCGGGGCTGAACACCTGAGCGGCTTTCTCCGGCAGGTGGTTCTCTACAGGCTCCGCCTCCAGGTGAGTCTTTGGCCCCGCCCCCTCCCTCTCTGCCATCAGTCCTCTCTCGCTTTCTGTCCAACTCGCTGCCTCTCGAAGAGACACGTCTGACCTCACACTCATCCTGTCTCCTCTACCTGTCTGTCCACCTGTCTGTCTGTCTCCGGGCCACTGCAGCGTGTTCGGCTCCATGATGGCCGACCTCACCGTCTCATCCTCCATCTTGGTACTTCCTGTCGGGCCCTGGGCATCTTCAGTCAGCAGAGACATGTCTGTCTGTCTGTCTGTCAGAGAGCAGTAGACAGGTTATCAGTTTATTGATCTGTGATTTCTGATCAGATTCTGTATTTATAATATTGATAAAGTTTCACCTGCAGCTCTGATCACATGACTCATATCAATAATGTTTTAAATATGAATCTATATAATATTTTTTATAGTCTATAATATCCTTTATATAATATAAATATATAAACAGAACAGCTGCTGAAGGTGAGCCTGCAGGTGACGTTAGCCCCGCCCACAGTGACGTCGGTCTGACTCCAACATGGCGGCCGTGACGTTGATCAGATTAAACTTCAGCCAAATCAAAACACGTTGGAGATCAAAATGATCGATCAGCACTGACTGTGCGTCACTTATCAGAGAGAATCGATCGATATTCACAAAGAGGCAACAGCTCCGTGCTAACATGCTAAAGAGCTAACATGCTAAAGAGCTAACATGCTAAAGAGCTAACAGAAAATAAACAGAACTAAACTCACCGCGTCGATCTGATCCTCCTCTTCTTCTTCTTCTTATTTCCCCTCCTCTTCTTTTTCTTTTCTCCTTTGTCTTTTCTTCTTCTTCTTCTTCTGTTGTTTTTGTTCTTCTGTTGTTTTCGTTCTTTTTGTTGTGAAACACTTCCGGAAGTAGATCTCAGGTGTGGTCACCAGGTGAGTTAAAGGGAAAGTTCTCTTAAAGGAGAAGAAACAAATACTAATACACAGTTTAGAGTACAAATACTAATACACAGTTTAGAGTACAAATACTAATACACAGTTTAGAGTACAAATACTAAGACACAGTTTGAAGTACAAATACAAATTCACAGTTTAAAGTACAAGTACTAATACACAGTTTAGAGTACAACTAATACACAGTTTAAAGTACAAATACTAACACACAGTTTAGAGTACAACTACTAATACAGTTTAAAGTACAAATACTAATACAGTTTAAAGTACAAATACTAATACAGTTTAAAGTACAAATACTAATACAGTTTAAAGTACAAGTACTAATACACAGTTTAGAGTACAACTAATACACAGTTTAAAGTACAAATACTAACACACAGTTTAAAGTACAAATACTAATACAGTTTAAAGTACAAATACTAATTCACAGTTTAGAGTACAACTACCAATACACAGTTTAAAGTACAAATATTAATACACAGTTTAAAGTACAAGTACTAATACACAGTTGTACTTTAAACTGTGTATTAGTATTTGTACTTATATACTGCAGTATATAAGTAGTACTTATATACTGCAGCAGTAGTACTCATACTGCTGTAGTAGTACTTACACTGCAGTACTTCTACTTATTGATCACCTTCACAGTTTCTTTGTTTCCGTTATGAACTGAGAGGTTCGTCTGGTTTTAACACCAACACCGTCTGAGAGGGGCGGGGTCGGTGCTCGGTGGTTCCACGTCACACAGTACCGCGTTGTACGCTCTGCTGTGAGGGGGGGCGGGGTTAATCGAGCCCAATGTTTATCAACCATGTGACCTCACACAGCTCTCTGATTGGCTGCTGCGGATCACGTGACACGTTGACGCGTCGTCATAGAGACCGACTCCACCCACACCGGCCACTTCGCCGCCCCGGTGTGAAAACAAGCGCTCCCTAACAGATGCTAGTGGGCGGGGCTTGGAGTGCGTGCGAAGAGGCGATTGGCTGACGGCAGCGGCGGCGGGCTGAGCTCTGATTGGTCAGAAGTAGAGAGCGCAGCTGTCAGTCACAGAGACGCCCCGCCCCCGGGCTCAGACTGCGGACTACTCCAGACCAGGAACCGAACACACCTCGGATTATTATTATTGTTATTAATTATAGATTATAGATCAGGTGATCGATCGGCTGTGATCGATCGGCAGTGATCGGGGTTCGATGTCCCGGCTGCTGGAGAGCAGGAGACAGGACAGGATGAAGGAGATCAACCTGAAGGTGAGAGGAAAGGAAAGAAAGGAAGGAACCGAGCAGCGGGCGCGTGCACACAGACTTTAATGATCGATGGTGATCAATGAGCAGAGAGCGGACAGTCTCTGAGAGACACTGTCGGTCTGTTCCGCTTTGTCCGCTCACATCTGCTCCGTTACTACAGATGTGGAGGATCGATAGTTATGGTAGAGGATCGATCGGTGATCGTGTGTGTGTGTGTGTGTGTGTGTGTGTGTGTGTGTGTGAGTGTGTGTGTGTGTGAGTGAGTGAGTGAGTGAGTGAGTGAGTGAAACGCTGGAGAAGTTCAGAAACGGGAAACACACTTTTTTTTCTTTTCAGTTCAGACTGAAAACCGGGTTTATCTTTCTATACAACGGAGAGTGTGTTTGCGCGCGTGTGTGTGTGCTCACTGTCTACCTGTGTATCTGTGTATCTGTACACAGTGAACACACACTTTCCCGGTCTCTCGGTGTGTGTGTGTGT